TAATGGATACGATAACACCAAACGATCAATCAAGCAAAAAGTCAACACAAAAAGTCAGTCCCGAAAAGTCAACGCAAAGTCAACCTTGAAAAGTCAACGCAAAGTCAATCACAAAAAGTCAATGCAAAATCAACCACAAACCACGATACTTACGTTGATGTAAACACTAAAAACGCCCCAGACAAGCATTGATCGAACAACAAATCAACTCAATTCGCAATCAAACGCACCAAATACCCGTAAAAACTATGGTCACGCACTCACCTGTTCGGAAGGGGATACCTCGCGACTTACTTCACCAAAATAAGGTCTGAAACCTGTTCTGGAAACTAGAAACCGAGTGATTTCCAACGGTATATAGATCGCCTCCTAAGTCCAAGTGGTTCGACGGAAAAACAGCCCGCAAGTTCGACGATCGGAACTGAAACAGAAACGACCCGTTGAACAAGACCACACAGAATCCGATGAACGGATACCCCAAATTCGGATCGTAAAAAGGTTCTAGAAACTAGACAAATAGGGCTTTCTAACCGTATATAGATTGACCCCTAATTCTTTATATAACGATGGCAAATCAGTCTGTAATTTTGATGATCGAAACTGGAAACAACAAATCTAGTCTCAGAAAACAGAACAGACACACTGATTTTAAAAGAACACAGAGAACGGATCATACCTCGGAATCAAGATCGGAAATCTGATCTGAAAACTATACAGAGATATCTTTCCAACTGTTTATAGATCGTTCTCTGATTCCCAACGTTTCGACGGAAATCCTCCCTCGAATTGGACTGATCGCAGATCAAAACTGCAGAAACCTCCCAAAATAAAACGACCATAACTCCTCAAATACCCAACCGATTGACAAGCGGTTTTCTCCTAAATCAAGATCAAAGAGTGAAGAACTTACCCTGAMATTTTCACTCYGATCCAACTTGATCTTCACCGCCGTTTGTCTCCTCCAAAACCGACGGCACACACCCTCAAACTCYYAAGAACACTCAAGAACACTTGTTCTCACCCTCAAATCTCTCAATYCTCAAGAGAAATCTYTCTSWTTTYTYCTCTRAAACYGAGCTCAATCATCCCACAAGCCTTTTATARGMAAAAACTTYGGTTTAACCAAACCGAACCGAAATTAATTGCTTCCCCAAACCAAACAGTCGGTTTAATTGCAATTTGTGTCAAACGATACCTGAACCAAAAAAATACATATTTTGATTCGCGGACGTTACAATCCTCCTAGCTATAGTCATAGAAACTATAATACCATAGTTAGATTATATAATAAACATAACTTCCATATCTTGCTATGAACATGTTTGAATATATATAACCTCAAGATATCGTTGAGCAGCTTCAGAAGACAAACCAATTGTCACAGCAGCTAAGCCAATAAGACCACCCTATTAAAAAAAAACAAATAAATCGAAAATCCTCGAATCTAAAGTAAAACAATCGATGAAAATTGCAAACCTTTCGATGATTTGCTTGAGGGGATTTAGCAAATTCCTCAATCAACATGTCAATGATTTTGGAGATCTAGTCATAATCACCGGCATTCCTTAATCTCTTTGCAATATACTCAAGCTACGATTAGAAAAGGGGATAGTTATATACATCATCATCATCACAGATAGTGAAAGAGCAAAAATTCTATTAGAAAAAAACAAATAAATCAAAAATCCTCGAATCTAAAGTAAAATAATCGATGAAAATTGCAAACCTTTTGATGATTTGCTTGAGGGGATTTAGCAAATTCCTCAATCAACATGTCAATGACTTTGGAGATCTAGTCATAATCACCGGCATTCCTTAATCTCTTTGCAATATACTCAAGTTACTATTAGAAAAAGGGATAGTTATATACATCATCATCATCACATATAGTGAAAGAGCAAAAATCCAAAAACGGTAAGAGGCAAAGTTATATACATCAAGAGCTGCATTTTTCCCCAATTCAGTGAAATCAGATGCATTTATACGTCTTGATAATGATGTTATCAAAATCAGTTTCTGCATCAAGAGCTGCATTTTTCCCCAATCCAGTTTCTGCAAAATCAAAACCACATCAACAAATCAGATTCTATTGAGATCACACTAATTTGSAAATCACATCTCAAAAACCCTAACCTGTAGTTGCTGGAGTAAATGACTTGAATTGTCTGCATAAAAAAGAAACAGGACTGTATCGAAGACTGACATTACCCAACACAATGTTGATACAGAACACAAAAGACATACCCAAATCAATTGTTTAACCTTGAGAACTTTGATCACAATATAAGCTCCAATCGATGAACATATGAAATGAACACATGAAACCGATAAAGRAAACTTGAAATCCAGTTTCTGCAAAATCAAAACCACATCAACAAAATCAGGTTAACTGAAAAAGGGTTTCAATTATTGATCCCAATTATTTTCACAATCAAATCTTAGATCCGAATTGACAGATTACAAAGAAAACCCACAAACATAATC